TGTTGTAGGGAACCAGCGAATTCTTTTTCCCAGTTACGCATGTTCCCAGGGAAAGTTATAAAATATAAACATGCAAAAGGAAAATAAAAGTCACCTCTAGTCTCACCACCCAGAGCTGATGACAGTTAGCATTTGAGGAATAACTTCCAGGGTGCTTTCTAAATTGTAAGTATTTCAACAAGGCCGGGAGTCGTAGCTCATGCTTGCAATCTCAGAACTTTGGGAGACCGCGGCAGGAAGATTACTTGAGGCCAGGAATTTGACACCAGGTTGGGCAACATAGCAAGACCCCATCTCTACACAAAATAAAAAAATTAGCTGGGTGTGGTGGTGGCACCTGTAGTCCCAGCTGAGGCAGGAGGATTACTTGAGCCTAGGAGATCGAGGCTGCAGTGAGCTATGATGATACCACTGCACTCCAGCCTGGATGACAGAGCGAGACCCTATCTCAAAAAAAAAAGGATTAAATTAAATAAATAATTATTTTAGCAAAAATGGAATCCCACTGTCCATACTGTCTCACTGACAGGTTTGTTCCTTTGACAATCTTTTTATATTATGATTCATGACACTCATTTTCTAAAAAGTATTTATTTTGAAATGGTAACATAATCATTTAGTTCAAAATGCAAAAGGTACAAAAGGGTGGATGGCGAAAAGAATGTGGCAAGAAGGTGACGTCTGAGCAGAGTCCTGGAACAACCAGGAGTTGGTCATGTGAACTTTTGGGAAGGAGCATTTCAGGCAGGGAACGACTGGTGCAAAGGCCTTGAGGTCCTGTCACGCATTCACTCCGCGTGACCTTCAGCTGGTTGAGTAACCTCTCTGTGCCTCCGAGTGCCCATCTGTGTGCTGAGGATAATCACAGTATCCCTAAGGCTGCCATGAGGATAAACCAATACCCTTAATGCTAAATGCCAAGCGTGGACCTCAGTGAAGGTGGGAGTGAGCTATGACAATGCCACTGCACTCTTGCAATAGAGCCCTGTCTCTAAATAAACACTGCAGCCTTGAAACTCCTGGGCTCAAGAGATCCTTCCGCCTCAGCCTCCTGAGTAGCTGGGACTGCAGGCATGCACTGGCTAATTTTTTAAAAAATATTTTTTAGAGACAGGGTCTCACTATGTTGTCCAGGCTGGTCTGGAACTCCTGACCTCAAGTGATGGGAGGCCCATTTTTAATTCCTAATTGCCCTCTCAAAAAACAATTCCATTAACACCTCAATAGCCAGCATCAGGGTGAGGAGTAGGAGAGGCTGCCCCACTGAAGATGTGTAAGAATTCTCTGTAAGGCAAGTTTTCTTCTACTCCAATTACAGAAAAGTGTTTCCTGGTGGGTCACTGGATGTAAACAGATATTTGGAGGTGGAGGAGTCCTTGTCTGTATCAGAGGGTCAGAACCCTGCACCCCCCTTCTGAATGCTAGGCTTCTGCACAAACCTGCCAATGAGCTTGAACCTCCCTGGTCACGACAGAACCCTGGGTGGAGGTGGGGAAGGGGCAGCTGAACCCCTCTTGTCCTGCCTCTCTGGGGGTGGTAGCTTTTGGAGACTCATCCTCATCGAGACCCCCTTGAAAACCCCAGAGGGCAGACACTGGGACAGAGTTCCTGTCAATCCCCATCCCGCCAAGGCAGAGATTGAGGGTCAGACAGGATCAGAGATGGAAAGTGACTTGCCCTGGGTCACACAGCACATTGACAGCAGAGAGGGGCAGGGTGGCCAGACAGGTGGTGGTGAGGAGCAAGGACAGACGTCAGAGTCAGCAAATCTGGGTTTGAGTCTTGACACTGCCACTTACCAGGTGTGTCACCTGAGTGAGTTGATTAACCTCTCTAACGCTCCATTTCTCCACCTGTAAAATGGGGATAATCTCTAATGCACACAATTTTCATGAGATTGCAGGTGCCAAACACAGGGATAAGTGCTTAATAAGTGTTAACAGTAAACAACTCACCTCAAAAAGGAAAAAAGACAAACACAGGGGTAGGGTGTTTTAGGCAAAGCTTGGAGGTGAGAGAGGCCAAGGCCAACTTCCAAGGTCCTTGCCAGCTGGCAGGGGTGGAAGAGTCGGGGGTGGGTAAGGACCGGTCACAGTGGGCTTGTGGGCGTCAGTAATGCTGAGGGCACGATGGGCAGATGATGGGGAGTGACGTGGGGAGATCCGAGCTTAGAAAGACCATCAACACGGTGCCTTCACTGACTCGCTGTGTCACCCCAAGCTGTTTCTGTCCCTCTCTGGGCCTCAGTCTCCAGCCCGCACAGTGGGTTCCCTCTAATGAGGGGCCCCCAGATGGGGGTTTGCAAATATGTATATTCCTTTGTGAATTTCCTTCTTTAGCGCCCTTCTCACCCCTTGGACAGGGCAATCTGTGAGCACAATCTCGTCTTCTGCTCCCCACAGTGTCCGCAGCATCCAGCCCAGGGTCTGGCACAGAGACAAGTTGTCACCCAATGAACGAGTGAATGAACGTCATTTTTTCCCTTTGGGAGGTGGGGGTTAAGGCAGAATTCCTCAGTCTCCTTCTGCCCAGCCCCTCGCTCACCCTCCACACACCTGCAGATCTGCGTCGTGTGGCTGGACATTGGCCCAAGTGCAAGCGAGCCTTGTTTTCTCTCGTCTCCAGACAATACCTCTGTTTCTATTGTTCTTCCTGGAGAGCGGGAACGGAGCGTTTTTGTGGCATCACCACGAGGCCAACAGCAGTTCCCTCTCCAGGTGTGTGATGAAGGCATCCTTGATTTTCTCCTTCTTTCCTTCCTTCTGCGAATATCTGTGGCTTTTCAAATAAAAACAGTTGTACAAAGGAGGTGAGCGGGTTTTAAAGGAAACACCAATGGCTTTTACTATGTTTTTTTTTTTTTTTTTGAGACAGAGTCTCACTCTTTTGCCCGCGCTAGAGTGAGTGCCGTGGCGTCAGCCTAGCTCTCAGCAACCTCAAACTCCTGGGCTCAAGTAATCCTACTGCCTCAGCCTCCCAAGTAGCTGGGACTACAGGCATGCACCACCATGCCCGGCTAATTTTTTCTATATAGATTTTTAGTTGTCCGATTAATTTCTTTCTATTTTTAGTAGAGACGGGGTCTTGCTCTTGCTCAGGCTGGTTTCGAACTCCTGAGCTCAAGCAATCCACCCGCCTTGGCCTCCCAGAGTGCTAGGATTACAGGCGTGAACCACCGCGCTGCACACTCTTTCTTGTGTTTAAAAGCCATTGGTGTGTTCGACACCAGTGGCTTTTAAACACAAGAAAGAGTGTGCAGCCTCCTTCACGCTAAGACAACTGCAAATGATAACTACCCCGAGAATCTCCGCCCATCGCCTGGCAAGGGGCAAAGCTGCCGACAGCCTATGTGGGTGAGGAAGTGAGCAGTGAGGAAGGCGGACTCATGCCCCACGGCAGGGGAGAAACTGTCACTGCCTCCCTGAAGACAGTGTGGCAATATGCACGCAAAGGTAAATGCAAATCACTTTGACCCAGCAATTGCACTTCTTGGAATTTATCCACCAGCAGATGTGCTCGCACGTGGGAGAAATGATGAGGGTGAGATGGTACTCATCGCCGCATGGCTGCCATAGCGCCACAGCGCCATAGTGGAAGCGGCCTGCGGGTCCTTCAGCAGGTACCCTGCCTAATGCACAGCGGTACTGCACGGCGGGGAGTACTGCTGCTCTACTGCGCAGCCGCAGAACACAAATGAGGCCGGGCGCCGCGGCTCAGGCCTGTAATCCCAGCACTTTGCGAGGATTCGTGAGGTGGGAGGATTCCTTGAGTTCAGGAGTTGGAGGCCAGCCTGAGCAACATAGTGAGACTCCATCTCTACAAAAAATAAAAAAATTAGCTGGGTGTGGTGGTGTGTGTCTGTAGTCCCAGCTACTCAGGAGGCCGAGGCGGGAGGATCGCTTGAGCCCTGGATTTGGAGGCTACAATGAGCTATGAGAACGCCACTGCACTCTAGCCCAGGCAACAGATTGAGACTCTGTCTCAAAACAAAAAACAAACAAATGACCACAAAAAACACCAAAAAATTCCCCAAATTAGCCAGTGGGATGGCTCTTACATGCCGACACAGTCCGGAACCGGGCCCTGGATATAAAGGCATGTGGAAAGTGCAACACAGACTCCATTATAGCCTGCTGCTATCTGTGAGCATAAAAGGAACTTAATATACATTTGTATTCGGTTGTAAACACATAAAATATCTCTAGAAAGATCACAGGGAACTGGTAACTTTGATTGCTTTGGGGGAGGGAAATTAGAGTGCTGGGCCTGAGCCCCCAGGGAGGGAGGCTCTTCACTGTACACCTTCTCCTGCTTTTCATTCTTTTTTTTTTTTTTTTTTTTTGAGACAGAGTCTCACTCTGTTGCCCGGGCTAGAGTGCCGTGGCGTCCTCCTAGCTCACAGCAACTTCAAACTCCTGGGCTCAAGTGATCCTCCTGCCTCAGCCTCCTGAGTAGCTGGGACTACAGGCATGTGCCACCATGCCCGGCTAATTTTTTCTATATATATATATTTTTAGTTGTCCAGATCATTTCTTTCTATTTGTTAGTAGAGACAGGGTCTCGCTCTTGCTCAGGCTGGTCTCGAACTCCTGGGCTCAAACAATCCGCCCGCCTCGGCCTCCCAAAGTGCTAGGATTACAGGTGTGAGCCACTGTGCCCGGCCCTGCTTTTCACTCTTTCGATGACATGATGTATTATCCATCCAGAGAAGGTTAGAATTTAAAAACAGAAAGCAAGGGAAAGTTTTAATGAGGAAAAGAAGAGAAATCTATTCCACTCCACCTCTCTCCCTTAAATTTGACGCTTACGAACTTCCCAGTGTCACTATGAAAACTGTCCTTGGAGATGATGGAGTAAACAGAGGTGCAGGGGAGAGGTGACCTGCCCAAGGTCCCAGCCACCACTTATATTAACTTCCTGCACAACTGGGATGATACCAGGTGGCATCCTTGGGATTTCCAGGGCCGTGTCTTGTCCTCCGTGTCTGTAAATCTATTTCTGTTCCTATCTGGACCTGAGGTCTGTAAGCTCAATGAGTCAGCTCGTCAGGACTGTCAATTTGCCTCACCCCAGAGAAGGCCTATGCCAGGCCAGAGGGCAAAATTGATTTGTTTGCTCAGGGCAAAGGGAAAGGAAATCATTTACGCTGAGGAGGGAGATTGTCCCCTGGGATCTCAATCTAGGAGGACCGGCCTGGAGCTCCAATGCCACCTCTTACAGAGGAATCCACTGAGGCCACCACAGTCGATCTAGGAAAAATATTTACCCTACAGAGGACAGAAGTGAGGGGTAATATCTGTGTTACACAAAGTGCTTTTATAATGGACAAAAAGGGGATGAACAGACATTAGAAGAATGGGCCAAAGTGAGGGAGGCAGTCCACTGAAACAAACTCATGCAAAAATGTTCAAGTTCACTGCAGCCAGGGAAATGAGAGAAACAAGGAGATGGCCCTCTACGTCCTCGGGTCTGGGGTCATTCTGGGAAAGGGTGCTCTCTTCACACACAGTTGGTGGGATGCAAAGGTTACAACAGCACTGGGGGAAAGGGATGCAAACATGCCCGGACCCAACCCCACCACTTCGTGCAGTCAGACTCACAGAAATACCACCCCGGACGCACACGCACATCCACGGCAGCAAGACGCTGAAGTCAGAGTGAACGCCCTTCAGCAGGACAGTGTGGGATCCTCCCAGGAAGGCCACACAACCAGTACAGACACTGAATTAGCAGCATCCCTGGGGAGGCAGGGAGGGAGGCACAGGGGCTAGGAATAAGAACTCTGGGGCCAGAGTTCAATATCTTGCTTTTGCAACTTGAGCATGTGCTTTGACTCCTTTGTGCCTCGGTTTCTTCTCTTGTGAAACAAGGATGATGATAATACTAGTACCTGTTCCATAGGGTTGTGATGAGGACTAAATGAGCAACTGTGTCAAAAGTATTTACAGCAGTCTATGAATCGAGGGAGGTGTTAGTTTGCTAATTTTCTTAGAAGGATCCCTATAAGCTTATTTTTGAGTAAGAAAGTTAAGATGCAGAAACTATTCCATAGCTGTAGTTCTCAGAAAAAAAAAAAAGCCAAAAAAAAAAGCAGAAAATATTGTTACCTACATCAACAAGACCCTGTGGGTGTCTAGATGTGCAATTTCATGAGCATAGAAAACTATGGGACATATACGTGGCCTTCCACAAGGATTATCAAAGGAGGAAGTGTGTGTGTGTGTGTGTGTGTGTGTGTGTGTGTATCGGGGGTAAGCAGAAGAAAAATATTTAAAGCTTTGTATGATTATGTTTACACAGTATTAAACTATATACATGCACATGGGTAGAGAAAGTTTCAATTACCAAAAAAGAAGGAAACCAAAAGAGGAAAGAACCGTCTCTCCCACCAGGCCGGGGGCGGGGCCCAGCAGTGTGAAGAGCAGAAGTGCAGCCAATAACAGAATCTTCCCAAAACATCACTTGCTTATTCTGAAGTCAAATAATCCGTGATAAATATTTACTGCCAATGCAGGGAAGACGGAGGGAGGACAGCGGTACCGACTTCAGTCATTTTCAGGATTGCCTTTTATCCGAGGGATTTTCCCCAGTGGGCTGTTTGCGGCTGTCAGGGCCAAGAAGGTAATAGATGGAGAAAAGCTCCAAAAATTCCAGAAAAATGGGCGTTCTCCTCGCCCGTAGGTGGGAAAGATTACTCTCCCAGCCCCCAGCTCCCACCCTGCTCAATGGCCCTCAAATCCATTCTCCACACTGCAGCAGCCGCGGGAGTTTCCTAAGTGCAGATCCGATCATGTATCCCTCCTTGAAACCATTCATTGTCATCCTAATTTAATCAAATTCCTTATGTGGCTACAAGGTCCTGCTGGATCTGGCATCCTGGCACTCCGGAGCAACTAGACCCAACCAGGTGGCCGTGCAGTTCCTTCGGGTGCCCTGTTCCCGGACACCTCTCCCCGCACCGCCACCTCGCTGACGCCCCCATCCCGCAGGCCTCAGTCCCGGTGTCGCTTTTTCCAAGAAGCCTTCCCAGGCTCCTCGGCCTCGGTTAGGGGTCCCAGGAGTGTAGATGCCTGGGCTTTGGCTGCAGACTTCTGAGAGCAGAGGCCAAACCCTCGCTGTTTGCAGTCTCCGCGTTGACTTGGAACTTTTCTGGGCCGGGATGTGGTGACCTCCGCCAGGAGTCCGCCGGCTCAGTCATTTGATGCCGGCTCGGAGCTGGTTTGGCCTGAAGCGGAGGCCGAGGGCCGCTGGCTGGGACTGGCTATTTCGGGTCATGCGGACGGGTCCTCGGGAGGATGGTGACGACAGGAGTGGGTGACCAAGGCAGAGGACGGCGCCAGGAGCGTGCCCCGCACAAACGTGGGCCCGCGGCCTGCCCCGCACAAGGATGGCGCGCGCGGCGGGGGCGCGCAGGGGAGCAGGACGCCGTCCTGGGCGCAGCTGGTTGGCGGAGCGCGGGGGGCGCGTCGGGGCGGAGCGAGACGGGCGGGCTGGGGCGAGCCAGGACCCGCCCCGGCCGAGGGCGCTGCGATCCGCCCCGGGACTATGTCGCAGGCGGCGAGTCACCTGCGCGCGGCTCTGTCCCTGGCAGCGGTTTCTGCGCGCGGCGCAACGACCCGCGGCGCGGCGAGGCGGAGGTTGAGCGCGCGGCCGGTGCCGCAGGAGCCCAGCATGGAGTATCAGGTATCCGGCGGGCGGGGGGCGGGGGGGGTCGTGCGATGACACGTGGGCTGGGCCTGAGCCGCACAGCATGCGACCTCCGCCGGCTGAGGGTACCCGGAGCCTTAGACTGGGGGCCTCAGGGGCGGGAACATCCTGGCGTCTGGGGGTGGAGACAGGGACCAGGAAGTTGGGCCCGGGCCGCCGAATCTGGGAATTCTGAGGTTTCAGTGTCCTGCATTAGAGAGGGAAAGGGCAGTGGTGGTAGCACCCCGAAGTCCAGAGGCTCAGCTCAGGTTCTGGAGTTCGGTGACCCCGGAGTCCGAACAAGGGGTTGTGGGGAGGGAGGGGATTCGGGAATTCAGACTTGAAAGATCCAGGAGTATAGAACTGGGGGGTAGAGTCTCCAGGATTCAGGAGATTGGGGATCCAGGTGCCTGGAATTGGGTGGCGGGCAGGAATCAGGGCAGGGCCCAAGAATCTGGAAAACAGGAAATTTCTGCGGGCGTTGTGCCAGGGGCCGGTTGCCAGAGACCAGAACCAGATGCCAGCCAGGCGAGTGACACCGTTTGATGGGGGTGGGGCCTTCAACGGCCATGAGGCCCTGAGGGCAAGAGGCTGGGAATCTGACGCCCGAGGGGGAATGAGCAGCACCCCCACTCTCAGCCCCAGTGTCCTGAGGCAGTGCCTACCTGCCTTGCCGTCTGGGTGACCCTCCCTGCGAACCTCTTCCCTATCTGGTCGCTTCAAGCCGCTCTTCTCTGGGTCAGAATGTGAAATCCCACCAGAGTCCTCAGGGTTGGGCATGAATTCCAGGAATTCTGAATTCTAATACGCCAGCCTTCTGTTCTGAGGTTGTGGCCCCATCCCAGAAGGGGCCCAGTGTAGTGGTGGACCCCACTGGAGGAGGTGAGAGCAAAGGTCCAGGGGGTGAAGCCTGGGGAGCCTCAGGGGGAAGCAAGGGTAGCTCCATTAGTCTTACCACTTCTTTGCTTGGCACTCCCTGGGTGGGGCTAAATTGCCCCAGGCTCTCATCTTTGGCAGAGCTGGAAAGATGCCACTTGTTAATATCTTTCCTGAGCCGTACCTGGTGGCTCAGGCCTGTAATCCTAGCACTCTGGGAGGCTGAGGCAGGCGGATCATTTGAGCCCAGGAGTTTGAGACCAGCCTGAGCAAGAGCGAGACCCCATCTCTACTAAAAATGGAAAAAAATAGCTGGGCGTGGTGGCGTGTACCTGTAGTCCCAGCTACTCGGGAGGCTGAGGCAGAAGGATCGCTTGAGTGATTGCTATGAGCTAGGCTGATGCCATGGCACTCTAGTCCGGGCAACAGAGCGAGACTCTGTCTCAAAATATATATATATATATATATATATATATATCTTTCCCTGTTGCTTAACTTACAGGCTGGGGCAACAGGGTTGGCACTGCATGCCTGGTGCCAGCCCTGTTACCCTGGCTTGGCCACTGGTATGCTGGGTGTCTCTTAGTGAGCCTTAACTTGCTACCTGGTGACTGTGCTTGCCAGGATGCGGTGCGCATGCTCAACACCCTGCAGACCAATGCTGGCTACCTGGAACAGGTGAAGCGCCAACGGGGCGACCCCCAGACACAGCTTGAAGCCATGGAGCTGTACCTGGCACGGAGTGGGTTGCAGGTAGGGTAGGGAGGGGCCTGTGACCATTCCCCCAACCCCATCTGTCTGTGAGTCCTAGCTGAGGTGGGGACCTTGTCTGTCTGTCCCAGGTGGAGGACTTGGACCGGCTGAACATCATCCATGTCACTGGGACCAAGGGGAAGGTGAGGGGCAGGACCCGGGTGTAGGGGTCCCCTTAGGGGGTGGGGCCTGCCCAGACAATACCTTTTCTTTCAAGGGCTCCACATGTGCCTTCACTGAATGTATCCTCCGAAGCTATGGCCTGAAGACGGGATTCTTTAGGTACTGAGTGAAACGGTGTCCCTGTCCCTATGGGCCCTGGGGGGCTATGGAACCAGCCATTGCTGCAGGGCCAGGGTCACCCACAGGAGGTCAGCTCCATGTCTCTCTGGGCAGTGTTTATTCATTCAGTAAACATTCAATTAGCACTTACCATATTGGCCCAAGTTTATGGCGATCCTTGATTTTCATAAGGAAAAAAATTGGGGCGGGCAGCAACTTGAATATATAAACTATATACATAGCTGAAATAGTCAGATGTCTTTTTAATAACCTAAATTCCACATATAATTTAAAAATCACTTAGAAATATTTATCAGTTAGGCTGTCTTTGCAGTAAGGAGCAGAAAACCAGCTTGTAAGGGCTTAAATGATGAGGGTGTTCAGGACCTGTGTGTCAAGGCCTCGGAGGTGGGCTGCAGTCCGGACCTCTTCCGCTCTGCGGGCAGCGCCCCCTCCTGGTCACACTCAGACGTCTAGACTCAAATAAGAGGATGGCAAGGCAGAACCTGGGTCGCCCCTCCCTGTGGGGTACCAAGCCAGTCACCAGTGGAGCAAGGAATTAATCTGATGGTTACTGCCTCAGGATTTGCCCCTGAAGTCGAGGCGTTTAAGACATTTGCCCCTTTTTATCTTACCAGTTCCCTCGGGCCACCTCTGTAAGCATCTAACACCAGGTGACTAAGGTCATTTGAGGCCAATGTTTTCCCTGAACGGTTCTTTGTTTAAAATCAAGAAATAGAGAGAAGGACTCATAATACCACAGGGTCTTCCAGGATTCAAACATGAGGCATCAATATGTCTTCTAAAATACTTTTTGGGTTAAAAACCCTAACCTTTGTTGTGGGCCCACATGGCCTTGTCGGCCAGCCTGCAATACAGCTTGAGGCAGCCTTGTGTCTGGGGCTGGAGGACAGACGACCTGGAGGGGCAGCTGTTAGCAGAGTGACTGGTGTGGGACGGGGAAAGCCCGGGACTGTTGGAGCTCAGAGAACACGAGAGACCAGCCTGGGGGTGAAGGTCCTTCTCCTTTCCGGAGGAGGGGCTGTCTCAGTTGAGACCTGTGCCGTGAGCAGGGTGAGCGGTGAAGAGGGTGAAGGGCAGGTGCAAAGGCCTGGAGTTAGAAGGTGTGGGGGCTGGAGGGGCAACAAATAGTCCAGGGGGACTGGGGCACCAGGAATGAGCCACGGGACACAGGAGAGGTGAGGCACAGGCCAGTGGCATTAGCCCCTGCAGGGCCTGGGAAGCCATGGGGAGGAGCTGGCACTCTCTTGAGGGCATCAGGGAGCCAGAGGGTTTCCAGCAGGGGAGTGACACGATCAGACTTGTGTTTCCAAAAGACAAGCCTCATTGCAGGGCGGGGGCAGGTGGGGGCGTGGGAAGAGAATCCTGATGACCCGAGGTCTCCCGGCAGCTCTCCCCACCTGGTGCAGGTGCGCGAACGGATCCGCATCAATGGGCAGCCCATCAGCCCCGAGCTCTTCACCAAACACTTCTGGCGCCTCTACCACCGTCTGGAGGAGACCAAGGTGCCCCGTGCGGGAGGGCTAATGGGTGGGCAGGGTAGGGGGTGCGGGCGGCATGTGCCAGGACCCCATCTCTCCAGAGCAGGGGTTGCAGGGGCTCTGGGCTCTGACACACTCCCGTGCCACAGGACAGCAGCCGTGTCTCCATGCCCCCCTACTTCCGCTTCCTCACGCTCATGGCCTTCCACGTCTTCCTCCAAGAGAAGGTATGTGCCCACTCCCCAGATCTCTGATCTGAGGCCTTGGGGATGGGAACCTCAGCAGGCTAGGGGGTCTCCTGCTCCCATGTGGCATCTGGACACCCCCATGCCCTCTGGTCTTTGGCAGGTGGACCTGGCGGTGGTGGAAGTGGGCATCGGCGGGGCTTATGACTGCACCAATATCATCAGGTGAGGGAAGCTGCTTGGGGAGGGGGTGGCAGCCGGGATCCCAGGCCTCACCCACTGCCTGGTGGCTCAGGGCGGGGGCCTCGTGGCTCTTTCATCTTCTGCAGGAAGCCTGTGGTGTGTGGAGTCTCCTCTCTTGGCATCGACCACACCAGCCTTCTGGGGGACACATTGGAGAAGATTGCATGGCAGAAAGGGGGCATCTTTAAGGTGACCAGGCAGCTAGGGGAGGGGAGGGAATGCCTGGGCCTGGCTAGGCTCAGGGAAGCAGGGATGGGGCAGGACCCTTTGTGTCCTGACTTGGGATGCGTTCCTGGGTGCCAGTAGGCTCTGGGTTCTTACCCAGCTCTGCTGTGTGACTGGAGCGAATGGAACTTCCTCCCCAGCCTCAGTCTCCCCTCGGGAACACGAGGGACAAGAGGCTGGGTGGTAGCCCAGACCCAGGGATTGGGGGATGGAGGATACTAGGCAGCCCCTGTCTCTCCCTGTTCTCCACAGCAAGGTGTCCCTGCCTTTACTGTGCTCCAGCCGGAAGGTCCCCTGGCAGTGCTGCGGGATCGAGCGCAGCAGATCTCAGTGAGTGTGGCTGGAATGGCAGGGCAGGCTAGGTGGGTGGGTGTGGGTGTCTCTCCTGATTGGGGTGGCGCTTTCTCCTTTTGGGCCTCAGTGGCCCAGCTGCTCGAACAGCTGGAACACAGCTCTGGGAGCAGGGCTCAGTGGGGTTCTGGTGGGTAGAGGGAGATGGGAGGGCTGGCGGGATGAGGTGGTGGCAGCAGCTCTGCTGACCAGCTGCTGCCTGTCTCCCCACAGTGTCCTCTCTACTTGTGCCCACCACTGGAAGCCCTGGAGGAAGGGGGGCCGCCGCTGACGCTGGGCTTGGAGGGAGAGCACCAGCGGTCCAATGCTGCTTTGGCCTTGCAGCTGGCCCACTGCTGGCTGCGGCAGCAGGACCACCAGGGTGAGTGGGCAGGTGAGTGGGCGGGTGTATGAGGAGCCTGCCTCTGAGAGTCCTGAGCATGCTTGGTCTCACGCACTCCACAGGCACTGGGGAGCTGAAGGCACCCAGGCCGAGCCTCCTGTGTCAGCTACCCCTGGCACCGACATTCCAGCCCACATCCCACATGCGGCTTGGTGAGTTGGACCTTCCTGCCCAGCTGGGACCACTGCTTGTGTTTGTGCCCCTTCAGATGTCTTTTTTGGTTTCCTGTTTGGGAGGTGGGGGCAATTTGAGCTGGTGTCTAAGAGAAAGGACTGTGAAGTCAGTAAACCTCCCTGACCTTGAGCTCACGAATTCTTTCTGAGCCTCAGTTTCCTCATCTGTCAAATGGGATGATGATAGGACCCACTGCCATGGGCTGTTGTAGCGATTCAGTGAGCTGATATCAGTACAGTGTCCAGAACCTGATGGATGTGGGATAAAGTGCCCAGCTAGTGGTAGCTGCTGTCACTGTCATCATCATCATCAGCCCATGATGTTCTTGAGGATGGTGACACAGTCATCCACGTCTTGCCTGCCCCGCAGCTTTCAGCACATAGTAGGTGCTCATGCTGTTAATGGTGTGCCCACTGTGTGCCAGGTCCTGTGTCGGAGGCTAGTGACACAGTCCTGTGGCCAGGCAGACCTCGGATCACATCCTGGCCCCAGGACTCACTTGCACTGTGAGCTGAGGACTCTCCGGCTGTCACATGGGCATAATATATGATGGCAGCCCCCTCAGGGTTGCCTGAAAGCTTCCACCGGTTGAGACGGCCGAAGAGCCATCCCAGTCCCTGGCGCTAGTAAGAGGCTCCGAGGCTGATGGGGTCCTCAGAGTGAGTGCTCAGAAGGCGCAGCCCGCGGAGAGCCGGTTGTGTGTGCAGAGTTGAGGACTGGGTGGGAGAGGACCCGGAAGGGCTTCCTGGCGGCGGCCGCTGGAGGACTACCTTGCCTCCCTCCCCAACCTCCCCAGGGCTTCGGAACACGGAATGGCCGGGCCGGACGCAGATGCTGCGGCGCGGGCCCCTCACCTGGTACCTGGACGGCGCGCACACGTCCAGCAGCGTGCAGGCCTGCGTGCGCTGGTTCCGCCAGGCGCTGCAGGGCCGCCAGAGGCTGAACGCGTGAGCGCGGAGCGGGGGCGGGGCCTGGGGATGAGTGGGCGGGGCCAGTTGGGAGGGGCGGGGCCGGCCTAACGTGGAGGAGGGGCGGGATGGGGGGGGGAAGGGCTGGAGCGGGAGGCGAGCCGGACTGACCCCACTCCCTGTCCCTGGCACAGGGGGCCTGAGGTGCGTGTCTTGCTCTTCAACTCCACTGGCGACCGGGACTCCGCCGCCCTGCTGAAGCTGCTGCAGGTGAGGGGCCGACCTGGGGATGGGTGGCCGGCAGCCCAGCAGCCCTGGGTGTGGCTGTGTGACCCCTGGGGGCGGGCCTGCGTTTCCTCAACTGTAAAACGGTGCCCATCCCTCTCCCTTGAATTGTCCTGAGGCTTAAATGTGGAAGCATCAGGCACTTGGGAAGTCTAGTTAAAGGTCTTACCCTCCTCCTGTGTGGGCACATGCAAGCCTGGGGTTAGAGGTGAAAGCTCCAGACTCTCTTGTCATGCCCCTTTAGCCACTGGCAGCAGGACAAGAGATGGTATTTCCTGCCTAAGTTTGCCTCTCAGTTTGGGGTACTGGGGTACCTGCTTCTCAAGCTGCATTTAAGAATTCACTGGGCTATAAAGCACGTAGAGGCCCTTCTCTGCTTGGGGAAACTGAGGCTACCCTAAGCTGTCAGGGCTGAAGTGGCTCCTAGGAATTGTCTCCCATTTCACAGACCAGGAGGCTGAGGCCGTTTGTGTCCAAAGCCTCTCCCACTTGTGCCAAGTCTTTTTCCCAGCCTGATTTGGGGCCTGCTCATTAGCTAGGTGACCTTAAGCAAGTGGCCCCCCAGCCTCTGTTCCCGCATCTATACACTAGTCCTGTGCCCTCACTCCCCAGGCCACAGGCCAGGCAGGGTACGTTGGGCGGATGGGGGGAGGGGAATCTGAAGTGCTGAGGCTGGGTTTGTGTGGCATCCCTGTAGGTCACGGTGGGGGGCTGTGTGGAAGTCCGGGGGCATCCTCTCAGGGGCCTGACACCAAGTCTTTCCCCTTGTCCTTCTAGCCCTGCCAGTTTGACTATGCTGTCTTCTGCCCCAACCTGACAGAGGTGTCATCCACAGGCAGTGCAGGTGAGAGCTGACAGGCATGGTCCCTGGGTGTGGACGGCGCCAGGGGGCCCTGAGGTGGACTGCTCTGTTGGTGACAGTGAGGTCTGGAATAGGAGATAGATTTGTTTTATTGTACAAGTATAAACTCGGTGTATTTTGAATTTTGTACCATGTAGTTGCAATACTTAAAAAGAATTATCAGGGAGAACATTTTTGAAAATGCAGGTTACGGCCCACTGATGGTTATTGAAATCAATTTAGTGGATCCGAACCAGCATTTTTTTATTTTAAATGATAGAGTAGAATAGAAGATATCTGTGCATTGTATGAAGTAAGGGTAGGTACTGCTTTGTGAAGATTCTTCTGTTCCAGGCATATACATATATATATATATATATATATATATGCATATGAGTACTGGGTTACAATATAAAATGTATTTTTTACTGTGTATTATGTTTAAAAAAGTTTGGAATAATGTAAAAAATACAGATCCCCAGGTCCCACATCAGACTATCTGTGGAGAGTTCTGGAATTTTTAACCAGCTTCCCAAGAAAAACTTAGGCCCACCTGGTGATGGGCCCCAACTGTATGTCCATTTTACAGATAAAGACACTGAGGGCAGGGTGGGGAAATGGTGCTTAGTGGGCAGAAGCTTTGCAGCAAGACTGCCTGGCTCTGCCTCTCATGACCTTGGGCAAGTCACTGAACCTGTCTGAGCCTGTTTGTTCATAGTGCGTGCTGTGAGGACCACTGGCAGCGTCCACTGACACAATGTCTGTGAAGGTTCTGGTGCTAAGCAGGTGCTCACAGTGCACCCCGTCTCCCATTCCCTGTCCCCTTCACTGACATGTCTGTCTCTGTGCCCGGCAGACCAGCAGAACTTCACAGTGACACTGGACCAGGTGCTGCTCCGCTGCCTCGAACACCAACAGCACTGGAACCGCCTGGATGAGGAGCAGGCCAGCCCAGACCTCTGGGGCACCCCCAGCCTGGAGCCTGGTGGGCCGGCGTCTCTGCTGCTGGTGCCTCGCCCACCCCACAGCTGCAGCGCCAGCTCCCTCGTCTTCAGCTGCATCTCCCACGCCTTGCAGTGGATCAGTCAGGGCCGGGACCCTGTCTTTCAGCCACCCCGTCCCCCAAGGGGCCTCTTTGCCCACCCCGTGGCAGCGAGCGGGGCCAGCATACTCCAAGAGGCTGTTGCCATCCACGTGCTGGTCACGGGCAGCCTGCACCTGGTGGGTGGTGTCTTGAAGCTGCTGGAACCCTCCTTGTCCCAGTAGCCAAGGACGAGGGGTTGGATTGGGAGCCTCCACTGCGTTCTCTCCTGCCCTGCGTTCTCTCCATGAACTCACGTCCTAGGTGCCTTTTGTTTTCTGATTCTGTCTAGAGTGGCCCAGGGCCCCAGGCTCTGGATGGCAGAATAGAGGGCCGGCGGGTGGGAGGCTAGGAGAGGATGTCCTCTGTCTTTGAGGCTCTGTGCCTTGGCTTCTCCTTCCTCCTGGCCGAGACAGCGGGGGACTTCCCAAGTCTCTCACTGCCAGAGGAGGCCTGGCCGCCCTGCTGCCTCCCCTCCCGCCCTGCCGCCTCCTGGCTCGGGCCCAGCTTATTGTGTGAGCTGCCTGGCCAGGCCTAGGGCCCTGCCGGGTGCCGGGCAATAGATTCCTCCTCCCAGTGCCTTCCGGGAAAGGTGACGGCCCCTGCTTGGGGCACTCTAGGGACAGAGGGTGGCTGGAATGGATTAAAGCTTTAAACTTTTTTAAAAAAAGAAATGGCAAAACCTTTGACTCTTGACCCCCAGCTCCTTCAGTAAACAGTGGGGGGATGGGCTGCAGCTGCTAAAGGAACAGGATTGTGTAGAGGGGGCCTGGGCTGTGACAAGTCCCCTCCTCTCTCAGAGCCTCAGATGGCCTGCCTGGGACATGAGAAGACGGGACTGATGTCTGTCGATGGCATGCTGGGCACTGCTTTGCGGAGCTCCTTGCAGAGACCGTGTGATGGAGAATCCTTCCTGTTTTACAGATGAGGGAACCGTGGCTGTCCTCAAGAAGCCATGGGAGCTGCCCATAGTCACACTGCCAATGAGTGGCAGGGCCAGGATTTGAACTCAGAGCTGTCCAGAAGCCCAGGGCGGGAGTGTGGAGGAGGCCTCCTGGCGTTTGGTTCCTCGCGGCCTGCGTCCAGGGGCGTGCTGCCCAGCGCACGGGTAGCAGAGGGGCTTGGTTTAACCCAAACCTGCTGTGCCCCGGCCACCTGCTACTGTTCAGGAGGCCACACCTGCCACCAGGCCAGCCCAGTGAGCGCCAAGGACAAGAGCAGCCCTGTCCTGTGCCCTTACCCGGACCCTGTTTTAGACGTTCCTCCCCTTCTCCACCCAGCCCAGCGCTGGTTTTGTGGTCTGATTTATTGGTCGGGGATACACAGGGGCGAGCCCAGGGCAAGCAGCCTGGCCGTTCCCCACCTGCTGCCTGCCTGAAGGGCAGGGGCGTCTCCGTGTGGCTCTCCCATCCCCACTGTTCTTGTCACCCCTGGGCTTCCAGGCTGGGCCCCCCGAGGCTACTGTCTCCCACAGCACAGTTGTGCCAGTCCAGGCGTGGGGGCCGCTGGGACAGATCCAGGTGGCTCTGGGCAGGGCCCTCTTCCGTTCCTGTGGCAGGCAACGTCGGCCTGGGCGGGCTGGGCTGGGCCTGTTCTGAGTTCTCTCCCGCCCAGCCTAGTTCACCAGTGCCACATCCAGGTTCAGTGACAGGGACTTAGACTTCCCCAACAACATGGAAAGTGGCCTCTCTCCATGGTCCTGGGCAGCTGTATCCCAGACCCACTGGGTTGAAGGTTCTGTGGGGTGGGGTGGGGGGACCCCAAGGTGTTCCAAGCCGGTGCCCCCACTGGCAGCAGGCCTCTGAGAGGGAGGTGGGAAAGGTGAGCACAGACAGCATGCTCCCTCCTCGGAGTGGAGGACTCGGCTCCCGGGGTGAGTTCGTGGCCAGTGGCTCCCAGCTGGTGGCTGCTCAGTCTGTCCTGCTGGGTGAGGGCTGGCCGGCGGGCGCTACGCCATGCTGCTGGTGGAGCAGGGGGTGCTCTGGGTGCTCCCGATGCTGTGGTTGGTGCTGCTGCTCTCCGAGGAGGCCGGGGCAGCCACCGCCACCACGGGCTCCCGCTTGCTGGGGGAACCTGGGAGCAGGGGCAGGGGCGGAGGTCAGGGCCCCGCCCAGGGCTCCCCACTCCCTCAGAGGCTCCACTGGGCTCCCCCAGGTGGGCGGAGGGGCCCTGCGCGCTCACTGCGGGGGCCTGGGGTACTCACGCGTGTGCAAGTAGATGTACCAGAGCGCGGCGGTGAGCAGGGCTCCGATGAGGAAGGCGCCAAAGGTGAGGCCCAGCACGGCGGGCAGGAGCAGGCCTTTGCCTGTGCAACCTGGAGAGGGCCGGCTGCGGTCAGCACTGCCGCCTCCTCCCCGGCCCCACCCTGCCGTGCTGGCCTGGAGCACAGGTTTTGGTGCCAGTCCTGCTCGGCGACAGACCCTGACTTCTCCGAACCTTAGTCTCCTAGTCTAGCAAATGGGCTCATCAAAGCCAGGCCTGGCACTAATGCGGTTGCCACGACCCCACCCAGAGGGCCCAGCCAGGCCTTTGGGGTCACGCTTCTGCACCCCAAGGTGGATGGGGATGCATTTTCAGGGAGGACGGACGGGACAATGTGAGGAAAGTGTGAGAGGCCTGGGAGTCCACAGCCTGCCCCGCCCCTCCCTGAGCCCTATACCAGGTAGAGAACGGGGCAGAGCCCCTCCCAGGGCTCCTCGCTCTGCTTTTGGTTGTCCCAAGCCTCATTCCTGCCACAGCCCTGACTCCTGTGTGACTGTGGGCCAGGCAGCCTCCCGTGGGCCTCTGACTTCCCATCTGTGCGATGGGGGCATTAGCCCTGCTTTCTTGCTCCTGGGCTGGGGCTGGGGGCTCCATTCTGGCCTGGATGGGGTAGCAGAGAGGTGGTTGCCCCCACCCCTCACCCCCACCTCTGCTTCCAGTGTCAGGGACTTTTCTGCCTGGTGGGGGCCTGGGTCCAGGGGGGACTAAAGAGGCCAGAGGCTGAAGGGATATCCTCCTCACTGGGGGCCTCAAAGAAGACAAGGCCAGCACCACACCCAAAGTGCTTTCGTCCCATCCAGGAGACCCCCATTCTCCTAGCAAGGTCAGCTGGTAACCATGGCGACGGAGAAGCGCAGTGCACAGGGAGCCGGAGGCCTAGAAGCCCGTCCCACAGGGTGCTTGTGAGCACAGGTTTCCATCTAGAAGCCGCAGCTGTGGATCCTACTCCAGGCTCCTGCCCCTCCTCCCAGGGCTGCTTCCCCTGGGATCCCCCCCTGCCATGTGCCCAGGCCCCGTCCCTCCTGGCAGTCCCCTGTGCCCCACTCTAAGCTCAGCCACTGGAACAAACCCCGGGAGACCCAGGGGGAGCTCACCAGACAGGTCAGGGCTGATGACGTTCAGGCGCATGGAGACAGTCCTGTGCACATCCTGGGGGAGAAGGGAGAGCATCATGCGGCACAGCCCTTGGGAGCAGCTGCCAGGCTTACTCCCTGGCTCTGCGACCCTGTCCCAGCCTACTCTGGGGCCTTGGCTTTGAATCCCATCTCCACCTTCTGGCTGGGTGTCTTTGGGGAGGTCCTGGGAGATCCGTCCTGTGGGAGGGTGTTGGGCGGGCAATCCTTGGCTGCCACTGGGATGTTTCTGGCAAGTGCCTGGAGGCCCCTGACACCCGTGAGCACTTTGGGAGCCCTCCTTGTCCTTCACCCTGGTGAACGCCCTGGAGCGACCAGCCTGGTCAGCCCAGAGGCCCAGGCCCACTGTGGCTGGAGGGAGAGGCCCCCTTAGGGGTGCCCTGAAGGCTGCCCTGGCTTCCTACAGCCAGGAGGTTTTTAACCCTGGAGACCTTTCTATGTGGAGGGGCCTGGGGGTGACTCTCTGAGTGTCCAGGACTGAGTGCCTGAGAATGGGGGTTCACCAGGCAGTGAAGTGTTGCGATCGGCAGATGTGGAAGGTCAGAGTTTTGTGTCCTTTGTCCTAACCCCCTTCTGTAAGGTCTCCCGTTCATTGGGATTACACTGGCGGTCCCACTACATGGATGGGCGAGTGGACGGATGCCTGGGTGGGTGGATGGATGCCCGGGTGGTACGGCAGGTGGGGGGCGGATGGATGGAGGGATGAATAAGTGGGAGGTAAATGGACGGATGGATAGCTGCAGCTGCACATCCTGCCAATGCCCGAGACGCAGCAGTCCCCCCAGAAGGCTTGTAGGGTAGCAGACAGAGCGCCCCTGGAAGCCAGACTGTTAGGCCACGTGCCTGACTATGGCTCTGCCCTTCATCAGCTGCTCCCACGTCCCTCTGGGCTGCCATGTCCGTGCTTGCAAACCCCAGACTCAGAAGTCAGCCTTGAAGCTGGGCCTGGCCCAGACCCCACTCACCTGGGACCAGGTCCTAGGACGCAGGGCTACTGTGCAGCTGAGGGTGCCGGTCAAAGGTGTGGGCACCATGTAGACGCGGAGGAGGAAGCTGAAGCGCAGGTCGCCGTTAGGGCTCGGGGACAGCATGTTCACACAGCTGCTCTTGGCCACCCGGCCCTGGATGAGTTCCACGGTGTCCCCCTCAGGCCCCAAATCCAGGTGGCAGCTGTCTAGCTGGAGCACGAACTCAGGGATGGGTGGGAACACGCTCACCTGTGTGGGTAGGTAGGGGGACAAAGCGTGAGCAGTTACTCTTAAGCCTCCACCCAACCTGCCCTCTTGAAATATGAGCTCGTGGGAAGAAAAATCAGCCACCCGGAGTCCTAATGGTGGAAGGAAAGGCCTGGGCCTGCCTGGGGCAGATAAGGAGGAGAGGGTGACACTCCTGGCAGTGTCCTGGAGCGATGCCTCCTCCACCTGTCCCCCATGCACCCAGGCTGGCTGCCTCCTTACTCTGGGAAGTGAAACTCTCATCTCCTCTCTGGAGCACTGGTGGAAAGAAAGGCGCGTGAGAGGCCTGGGGGGTGGCGACAGCACACCGCGTACCTGCACAAAGCCCTGCTGGCCCAGCTCGAGGGTGCTGGAGGCCTGGAGGAAGTTCGGGCTGAGGTAGAGGCCCAGCTGGAGGGACAGGCTTTCCAGGTCGACGCACTGCACCGTTTTCTGTGGGAGGACAGGAAGGAGACTCGGTCAGTCTGGCGGCAGCAGCCAGGACGGCCACGGGGTGCTGTAGGAGCAGGTGTCACGGCCCAGAGGAGCTGCCTGACTTTCAGCCTCACCTTTTAAAAAAAACTGATACGTATCAAGATACGCGCCAGGCTGTGTGAAGGGCTTTCCCTGTGTCACCCCAGTGACTACTCCTAAGCACCCCTATGGGGTGGGGTCTTTCTTATGCCACAGTTTACAGGCGATGACCTTTGGGCCCAGAAAGCTTAAGTGATTTTTCCGAGGCCACGCAGGCAATATGTACTAGAACCCTCTGACTTGAGAGGCTGAGAGCGTGGCCCTCAACAGTACTGCTCTCCCACTGTGCAGAAGGGGAGACTGAGGCACCCTGGAGACATGGCTTGCCAGGGTCAGGGCCAGCTCCCTCCCAAACCAGCAAGGGGCCCGGCCTGGGACGCAGACCCTGGACGGGGTAGGGGGGCGGTCAGCACAGTGACCATCCATCTCACCCGCTGTGGTGATGAGCTCGACAGGAAATTGACGACCACCTGTGGGGACAGAGCCAAGGAGCGGGTCAGAGCCAGAAAGGACCTGGGGGTATCCCA